GTGTTTTCCCTTTAAAACCCACTTATCTGCAATCAATATCATTGAGATTAAAAACAATAATGGCCTTTAATATTGCATCTAGATGTGGATTACAATCATAATAAAGTAATTGGGTCATACATTTATGTCAAAGGTTGAAGAGTTTAATCCGTGATCAAGAATAATAGAAATTAGTGAAAACCAATTATTCTTCAGGTTAACGGATTATAAAATTCGTGAAAACGATTTCAATCCGTGATCAGGTTATTTGGGGGAGAGGTCCTGTTGGACATATTTTCAATGTTGTTTGTTTTGTTTAGTTTTGTGTTGTCAATTGTGTGTGCGTATTTAAGGTGCGGAGTTAACAAGACAATTCATTGGAGCGAATTTTGGAAGAGAATAAATGTCCAACTTCTAAGAAATGGAGATTTCAGATCATCACTTGACCCGATTTTAACCACAGTAATCAGTGCTTCGGTACTAATAAAGGTAACACATCGATGCTTTTCTTTAATTGTCCGTTTATAAGTTTATACCAAGGTTGTAATGCTCTCTTTCTTAAATGGACTTGGCTATCATTTATAGGAGTCTCTCTTTCAAAGTTGACCTTAGATGGACTTGGCTATTATTTATAGGAGTCCCTCTTTCAAAGTTGACCTGAAATGGACTTGGCTATTATTTATAGGAGTCCCTCTTTCAAAGTTGACCTGAAATGGACTTGGCTATTATTTATAGGAGTCCCTCTTTCAAAGTTGACCTGAAATGGACTTGGCTATTATTTATAAGAGTCCCTCTTTCAAAGTTGATCTGAAATGGACTTGGCTATTATTTATAGGAGTCCCTCTTTCAAAGTCGACCTGAAATGGACTTGGCTATTAATTATTACCCGATTCTAGATGATAATTTATTAAATAGTAAAAATGATAGTTATGAAAGATTATGGGTACTTACACGAATCAATGGACTGAAAACGGCTGTAGGGGTAGTTTATTTGCCAAATGATGGTATAAATAAACCAAAAACAGACGACATAATGTTTCAACTTCTTGAAGATGATTCAAACCTATATTCATTAGGCTATGAAGTTGTCATCACTGGCGATTTCAATGGGCGATGCATTGACATATGTGAATTTACCGGGCAAAATATAATGAAACTGTCCACTTCATACAATGGCCGTCGTTTAAGTCAATTTGTTGAAGCCTCTCAGCTAATTATTGCAAATACTCTTACTTCTTGTAGTGGACACTACACAAGAATACTAAATAATCAAAGATCAGCAATTGATTATATTCTTTTATCCTCAAATATAACGGAAGCCGTATCACGTGTCTATATTGATGAATCTGGAAATTTTGACCTACATAGCGACCACGTTATCCTTAGAGTAAACATTAAATCGAATACCAGATCCCTAACACCTAAAAGTAATACAAATGCTATATTTTGGAATATCAATGAAAAGACGAATTGGCCTGTTTTTGAAAGTAAACTGCGCGAAAACTTCTCTAATTTTAATGTATTTTGTAAAGAAACTATGAATGTTGATCAAATATGGAACAGCTGGAAAGAAAAGGTAAAAAATGCAGCTATAAATTCAATCGGAAAGGCAAAAACTGTCCGGAATTATAGAAGTTTTTGGGACAAAGAGTTAGATGAACTTTTAAAACAAAGGCGCGAGGCAAATCGACTTAAGCATATACATGATAAAAACCACCCACACAACAATGAAGTAGGCCAGCGACTAACAAATATCTATAAAAAACGAAAAGAAAAAGTTCACCAAGCTATTAAAAGTAAAGAGCGTTTAGTAAAAATGAAACAGTTCACGAGTAAATGCACAAATTCAAAAAAATAAAATTAAAGGCGTTTGGGATTTTCTTAAATTAAAGCAAAATGCTAGTGTGCCATGCGAAATAATAGATCCTGTTAATTCAGGTGTAAGATTAACGGAACCTGATCAAATTAATAAAGCCTTATCTGATCATTTTAATTCAATAGGATCAATGCAAAATAGCAAAACCGAATTAGCTAATGATGTTGAATCTTTGATGTACAAAATAGATAACAATTTGATTCAGGCGGAAACACCTTTATTGCTTTCAATAGACCGACAAGAAATTACGCAAATTCTTAAGCGAATCAAAAACAGTAAAGCTAGTGGGTTCGACAACATACCCAATGAATTTCTAAAATACGGTGGTGATATACTTGTTGATTCCCTTGTTGAACTTTTCACTAAGATAACCGATTTGGAATGCATTCCTGTTGAATGGCATAAAGGTATTGTAAAATTAATTCACAAAGGAGGTTCGGTTCATGATTTGGCAAATTACAGGGGCATAACCTTAACTTCAAATGTATATAAGGTTTCTTGTAAAATTATTGAGGACAAAATTATGAATTATATTGAAGATTTGAAGATAAGAACTTATTAGGTGAAACTCAAGGCGCCTTTAGAAAAGACAGAAGAGTTGAAGATCATATTTTCACTCTTCATGGGCTCTGCTCCTTAAGAAAAACAAAAAAGGAAAAAACGTTTCTAGCTTTCTTAGATCTATCCTCTGCTTTTGATAAAGTCTGGAGAGATGGTCTTTTTTATCTTCTTTGGCAAAATGGTATTCAAGGAAAATGCTGGAAACTACTACGTTCCCTTTATAAAAATGTAAGTAATAAGGTCATTTTTGGGAGTTACGAATCAGACTGGTTTGATCAAGAATTTGGCCTAAAACAAGGATGTATATTATCTCCTACACTATTCTAATGTCTGATCTTGTCTCAATGATAAAAGAAAAGAATCTCGGTATCAATGTAGCGACTGAAGTTATAGGTAGTCTACTCTTCGCAGATGGTATTGTTTTACTAGGGAAAACCGAAGAAGAATTACAAACCCTATTGAATATTGCCAGTGAATTTGTTTCTAAATGGAACCTAAAGTTTAATGCCAAAAAATCAAAAGTTCTAGTGGTAGGAAAAAGACTTAACACATACAAAAACTGGTTTCTAGGGGATGTTTTAATTGATGAAGTAAACGAATATAAATACTTGGGAGTTTATTTCTCACGAACGTTAAAATTTAATCATCATATCGAGAAATACCTTAAGGAAAACTTTGAAAAGAAACTTAACTATATTATTCGCGTTTTAGGAGAACATGGCGATTTTAATCGGTTTAATTTTGGCTGTGCTTTGTGGATTTCGGTTATACGTCCATCCATTGCTCATGCTTGTGGTGTATGGTACCCAACGTCAAAATCCGGAACCGAAATGCTAGACAGCTGGCAGTACAAAGTCGCAAAAGTTATAATAAACTCTTAAATGAACTTTCCAAAATGCTCTGTGTAATCGGATTAGGGATGGGAATCTCTAACAAATTATATGGACCGTCAAAGGATCACATATTTTGCTAGATTAGACTCTCTACCTGGTACAAGATATTGCAAAATGATTTTTACCGAACTTAAGTTATTAAAAAATGAATATTTTAATCATATAAATGGCATATTCCAGTCCACTGGACTGGACCATTATATACATGGAAACGTTAATATAAAAACATTTAATAAGTTTTTTGGTATTGACGCTTGTAATAAGCTGAAGTCCGAAATTCTAGAAAAGCGAAGCCTAGGTGATTACCGTTCATTTTATGTCACACAAGCACGACAATCGTATTTATCAAATGTAGACGATTTTTGGGCCTCTCGTCTTAAATTTCTGGCTAGAACGAATTGTCTTCCATTGAATGCTGTTTTATTCCGCATGAAATTGAAAGATAGCAATGCATGTTAAACGTGTTGTACTGAAGAATCCGTTTTACATATACTGTTAGAATGCCAAGCATATACTGATATTCGAGAACGTTTCCTTTCTGATTTGCACGATTTCCTTCTTAATGGAGGAACCGGCGTGTTTTTCTCAGAGTTGCCTCGTTTTAATAAACTTCAATTTATTATCGGAGACATAGTTTTTTTGTTCGGTGATGATATCGGAAAAAAGGTTGATGAAATGGGAAAACAATATCTAACCTCACTCATTAAAGCTCGCAATGAGTTGTTGCATGTTAATGTCTAAATTATTTAAATGTATGAAAGTTTGAAATTGTTTCAAGTTTATGTGAATATGCATGTATTTTTAGAAAAAGTCTATGTATATATGTGTAATCTTTTTAAAATGTCGCAACGTACTTTTACGGTTTCTTTTATTCACTTTTATAATTTTTATTACCAAATGTTGGGTTTTAAAAGAAATTGTTTGACGAATATATTGACATTTTTAATGATAGTGATGTTTTTATTTATGTACACTGTATTTATAATATTTATAGTTTGTATGACGCAAACACTAATACCCTGTTGGTGTTTGCCCCCGATGTAAAGGGGTAGTTTCTCAATAAATATATATATATATATATATATATAGGAGTCCCTCTTTCAAAATTGACCTGAAATGGACTTGGCTATTATTTATAGGAGTCCCTCTTTCAAAGTTGACCTGAAATGGACTTGGCTATTATTTATAGGAGTCCCTATTTCAAAGTTGACCTTAGATAGACTTGGCTATTATTTATAGCTAATATAGCTCTTCACGAATTTCGATACTTATACATCAACTGTTTGGCTTTGTTCCTGATGAAGGTAAATCAAATATTTGGCTTTGAGGGTTCCTGATGAAGGTAAATCCAGAAAAAAACGATTCGCATACACTTTATAAAGTGTTATTTTCATTTCTATTTATATATATGCATTCAGAGATGAGAGATCGAACACAAACGAACCTTCGAACCAATGAGAATTCTGCATGATCGTCGAGTTCAGCTACAATCAAGTCCCATTATTTGATGATTTTTAACTTATTTTCTTCCTGAATCTGCTAGAAATGTTTGCCACTAGACTTGTAAGTTATGATATAATAAGACGTGCGAACAAAAACATTCTGTTACCGTATGCCAGTGATGTGATACGCACTTTTTGAATCGTCAATAATAAAGATAAACGTATTTTGTAATTGATCATCTCGATATTACTAAATTAAAATCTGATTCAAAATAAAATATGAAAAATAAATCACAAACGTTTGATATCATTTCATATTAGACAATATGATCCATAGAAGTATTCAGTATTTGTCACACATGTTGTTTGTAAAATGGTGTAAAAAGTAGTTGAGAGGCATGTTGTTTCTATTCTGTAAGATTCCCACACTGGTAGACAGACAGCTCTCTTTAAGATGACTTTGATCTTTCTTTTCCCTTTGCCAACGCCTGCTGAATTTCCTAAAAACTTCACATCTGAAAGTATTATATACAGAGAATATCATATAGCTGTTTTCAATATCAAACCCGTATCAACACATATCATCCAAAGAACTCTGTAAGGTACGCATATCTTTCAAAAGAGATTCACTTGCATATATCTCCTCAGGTTTGCACGTTCTTGATGAAAGTAAATCCAGCAAAGGTCTACGGACTTTCGACTTAAGCAGGCGAGGTGTTTTTGCGAGCCCGATCTTGTTACTGATAAGAATTTCTTTTAGATAATTTACTAGTTTTATATTTAAATATAAATTTTCTGCTTTGTAACAGTGAAATAATGTTTTGGGTATTTAGGAATTGACAATTTCTGTACGATTTTCAAACGTAAGTCGTTTCTCATGACAGGAAATATTAATACAGAAACGTTTGACCTTTCGGGAAACAGAGTTCATCACGGTGGAATTCATTGGTGCTCGTTTTTGCGGGTTTTTTGTTTTGTTTGCCATAGAATGTAACCCTTTGTTATTTTAAAATTCTCCGTTTTTAACATAGTTTCGTGAAGCTCTTTCAGTTGTTAGTATCATCTCTCAATATATATATATATATATGACCATCTTCGCCTCACAAGGTTCCGATCCCGAGAAGAGGATGGAACCGAATCGTAATATTGGTTAGTGAACAATGTATTTGACCTACCTTCTTGGAAAATATTTGTGCACATCAATAGTTCTAGGAACTGAATATTTCTATCCTCACATATTCGTTTGACCGTCCCTATGCTGTTATAATGATCATATTGAGTAACTCTGTATAAACATTTCTGAAAAAAAGAGTTACAGATATCCTATACATCAAATAAAAGGTGAGAACACTGACGTTCTTCTATTAATTAGTACATGTTGTTATTCTGATTAAAAAGTATTCTGTCGGGTAACGAATAACAATTTGTAGAAAGACTTTACCAGTTGAATATACAGTTGGAATTATTTCTAATCCCCTACATAACTAACCATCAGAATCTGTTTTAGAACTGTCTAAACTGTTCTAATATAGAACTGTCAAGGTCTGTTCAAGGGTCGAACTATCAAAAACATTTCAAGGATAGAACTGTCTAAAATGGTTCTAGTGAAGATAAGCATATATATGTTCTTAAGGTGTCAGGCGAACTATTTTTCTGAAATGTTTCAGGTATTTTGTTGCTTAAATATTTCGTCTGGGACATACGTGGGCATGTTTTCCGGAAAACATGTCGTGAAACAATTTGTATCATATGTTTAAGTGCTAAGTACCAATCTGATGAATCAAGACATTTGTATAATCTGTTTAAGTGCTAAGTGCTGATCTAATGAGACAAGCCATGTGTATCATATGTTTAAATGCTAAGTGCTGATCTAATGAGCATGCTGAGACAAGCCATGTGTATCATATGGTTAAGTGCTGAGTACCAATCTGATGAGTCAAGACATTTGTATAATATGTTTAAGTGCTAAGTACTGATCTAATGAGACAAGCCATGTGTATCATATGTTTAAGTGCTAAGTGCCGATCTGATGAGTAAAGCCATTGGTATCATATTTGAAACCGCTAAGTACTGATCTATTGAGACAAGCCATTTGTATCATATGTTTAAGTGCTAAGTACCGATATAACGAGTCAAGCCATGTGTATCATATGTAAGTGCTATGTACCGATCTGATGAGTCAAGCCATGTGTATCATATGTTTAGGTGCTAAGTACCGATCTGATGAGTCAAGTCATTTGCTTCATATGTTTTTAATTTACTTTTGTTCCTATGTTGTGCTGTAGGTATTCAAAGATGCAATATATGGCTCGAGAAGTTGCAAAATGATAATTTATAGTCATGCCATTTTAGTGCGGTAGTGTCATATAAATGTTCCATTTTCCTTTTTTTTAGTAGTTTGAAGCAGGAGACCATTACTTTAGTTTTTTTCACTTAATTGATTTTTATATTTGTTCCGGACCATATGAATATTTGGATCATATGTGTATACTCATATGATCCGATCATACTCGTATGTCAAAAACATATTGTGTTTCGTAAGTTATCTTGTGAGTAACTTTATTTGTATGTACCATGTAACAATGCTTTCCATTTGGTTGAATAAGTCGCAATTTCATTTTAGAAACTGTTAATGTATGACACCTTGAATGCAACGTTCATCGTATTAAATACCCGGACCATATGAGTATATACGACTATGGTTATGCACATACTAATATGGTCCGGAACATTAACATCAATAACTTACTGCTGCCTCTTACTTATCCAAAAATACCTACAACCAACATGTAGCAAAATATCCGGTTGTTGTAAAATTTTAAATCTATTCAAAAGTATAATTATATCTTAATTAATTAAAGGGTCTTTAGCTGTCAAATTCATGTTCACCGATTTGACTCAAATTCTCATATTTGATTTATAACATACTAAAACGTATATCCAAATTATAAAAAGTCTAAAATAAACAATTTACAATGCATGGGTTCGATAATAGTATCAGCATTTTGTGTGTATTTTAGTCTAGACGACATCTAATTAACCATCGATGTGACCCCGAAGACTTCCGACGGTCATATTACCCAATAAAAACATATATATATATAAATAAATAGGTACGAACTTGTGCAGTTGGATTTTTCTAGGTCTGTTTGATTTCATATTATAGGTTAAACATATTTGTTAATCATCGTTTTTACCTGAATAAGAATGAGTTTTTGTGGATCGAATCAGTCAATCAAATGGTTTACCCTTGTTTCACTTTCAATGTTGACATTCTTTTCCTTTTAATAATTGAACACGCCTAATTCATGCGTAACCAGCTAAGGGGGTTAAATGGAAGGTCACATGAATACGGATTATTTGTCTCTGTTATACCCGATACCATAAGGACTTGTCTGCAGGTCTGATAATTATATACCTCCTTTCATCACAGAACTCTTACCCTAAGTGTTAAATAGTAGAGGACACATTTTTTCCGATATGTGCCTGGCTAACATGTAGAAAAGTCGCTATGCATGAAAAAAAAGTTTCTCAACAAATAAATGTGGGTAAAACTCACAGGGTGTTGGATAGTAGGGATACACACGCGGTTTTTTTCTTCAAGAAATGCCGGTAGAATGTAAGAGCTATATCTCTAACATAAACAAAAGTGGTTATTCGTGATCAAATTCTCAAAATAACGTTTTAAATTAACTTATTCAGATTAAAAAAAGTCCGAAACCCACACCATCCATCCAAAACTAAAAAGAACAAAACCAATAAAAAACCAAAAACAAGAAAAGCATACAAGCAAACACGCAAACGAACAGAACAAACCTTGATATATTTGTTGGACATTTACTAAATTGCCGTTTTAAGAGTAACTCTGCTGCACTAATTCACTTAAAATGCAACTATTTGAGTTTTTATCACAAGCCTTTATTATTACCTGTAATTGTCCAGTTATTATTACCTGTAATTGTCCAGTTATTATTACCTGTTATTGTCCAGTTATTATTACCTGTAATTGTCCAGTTATCCTGTCCTTTTCAGTATATTTGTACATCAGACAAACATCGTGTGGTTGCTTCATCACTATCACTTTTAAGTCCTTAAAAACAAAATATAGACATGGATCGGTGGTACATAAAGGTATGAAGTCTATATGAAGATACTATGAAAGTTGTAATTATATTTTTTGTATGCTATTATTTTTATGACTCATAAATATCATAGAGGTTTTGTCAAGATTGTAGTTACTGGTATCCATTTTGGGGTTTCATTGTTGCCAAACTAACAGCTTTTATAAAAATATTTTATATCTGGAATCATTGCCATCAGCTACACTTAAGACCACAGGTCATATAAACGTCCAATGGTTTCAATACATTCTATAGCATATCTCTATAACATTCATTTCTTAAATTCTTTGCTAATCTAAGAATTGCCACAGGCAAAGTTTAATGATTTTTGGCTATTGTTTATTTGTCCCTTAATTTACATTGGCGATTCATGTACGTTTTCATGTTCTTAATACAACCATTGACCTTCGACTTACTGGGTTTGAGCGTTTCGATGAAGGAAAAGCCAGACAAGCTCTTCGGATGCACCAATTTTATAAGGTTTTCTTTTCATTTACTGAATCTTAAATCAGATTTTCTTGAGACTTTTTCTCATTACAATAAAGCGTATATTGTCAATTTTTACTAAATCTTTCGTCTATTTCTGATGAGGTTAAAGTCCATATTGTCAATACTTACTACATCTTTGACCCTGTTCTCATGCGACTAAAGCCCATATTTTCAATACTTACTGGATATTTCATCTGCTTCTCAAGAGACTAAGGCCCATGTATTCAATACTTACTTGATATCTCATCTGTTTCTCCTTAGACTAAATCCAATATTGTCAATACTTACTGGACATCTCAACTGTTTCTTCTTAGACTAAAGCCCATATTTTCGATACTTACTGGATATCTCATCTGTTTCTCAAGAGACTAAATCCCGTGTATTCAATACTTACTTGATATTTCATCTGTTTCTCCTGAGACTAAAGCCCATTTTGTCAACACTGACTGGATATCTCAACTGTTTCTCAAGAGACTAAAGCCCATATTGTCAATACTTTCTGGATATCTCAACTGTTTCTGCTTAGACTAAAGCCCATATTTTCGATACTTTCTCGATATCTCATATGTTTCTCAGGATACTAAATCCCATGTATTCAACACTTACTTGATATGTCATCTGTTTCTCCTGAGACTAAAGCCCATATTGTCAATACTGACTGGATATCGCAACTGTTTATCAAGAGACTAAAGCCCATATTTTCAATACTTACTGGGATATCTCATCTGTTTCTCCTGAGACTAAAGCCCATATTTCTAATACTTACTGGATATCTCAACTGTTTCTCCTGAGACTAAATCCAATATTGTCAATACTTACTTGATATCTCAACTGTTTCTCCTGAGACTTAAGTCCATATTTTCAATACTTACAGGATATCTCAACTGTTTCTCCTAAGACTAAAGCCCATATATCCAATACTAACTGGATATCTGAACTGTTTCTCCTGAAACTAAATCCAATATTTTCAATACTTACTGGATATCTCAACTGTTTCTCCTTAGGCTAAGGCCTATATTGTCAATACTGGCTGGATATCTCAACTGTTTCTCCTTAGACTAAGGCCTATAATGGCAATACTGACTGGATATCTCAACTGTTTCTCAAGAGACTAAAGACAATATTGTCAATACTGGCTGGATATCTCAACTGTTTCTCCTGAAACTAAAGCTTATATTGTCAATACTGACTGGATATCTCAACTGTTTCTCAAGAGACTAAAGCCCATATTTCCAATACTAACTGAATATTTCAACTGTTTCTCCTGAGACTAAAGCCCATATTTCCAATACTTAAGGATATCTCAACTGTTTCTTCTGAGACTAAATCCAATATTGTCAATACTTACTGGATATCTCAACTGTCTCTCCTGAGACTAAAGCCCATATTGTCAATATTGACTGGATATCTCAACTGTTTCTCGTGAGACTAAGGCCCATATTGTCAATACTGATTGGATATCTCAACTGTTTCTCCTTAGACTAAAGCCCATATTTCCAATACTTACTGGATATCTCACTGTTTCTCCTGAGACTAAAGCCTATATTGTTAATATTTACAGAACCTTTGACCTTGATCTCATGCGACTAAAGTCCAATTTGGCAATACTTTTTGGATATCTCATTTGTTTCTTCAGAGACTAAATTTCATATTTTCAACAATTACTGGATATCTCATCTGCTTCTCATGAGACTAAAGCCCATATTGTCAATACTTACTGGATATATCAACTGTTTCTCCTTAGTCTAAAGCCCATATTTTCAATACTAACTGGATATCACATCTGTTTCTCCTGAGACTAAAGCTCATGTATTCAATACTTACTGAGTATCTCATCTGTTCTCTTGAGACCAAAGCTGATATTTTCAATGCTTACTGGATATCTCATCAGTTACTTCTGAGACTAAAGATTATATTGTCAAAACTTACTAAGTCTTTCATATAATAAATGGTCTGATGGTCACCACTATTGGTTGTCAATTCAACTTCTTGTAATTTATCATCTTCGTGCACAGTTGTGGTCAATAGGCTGGAATTTCTATTGATTTTTACATTGTCATGTATAATCTATAACAAAAAACTGGTATTCTTATTGTTAAAACTAAATAGTTCTTTGTCATACAGACTGCGTAATTTGCATAATGCAATATATGTAAAGCACATAATTTCAGAAAAATTAATTCTTATTGATATAGTAATATACATATAACGAGAAGGCAAATACATATTTGCAAAGCAATACACACTTGAGGATACTTATTGATACAATATACTGTAGTCATATTATTAGAGTTAGGGTTTAGAATTATAATATTTAGTGTTTATTAAAAATATGTGTGTGTGTGGTGTAAAAATACCGCCCGGTGTCTGAGTGAACAGTACTATCGGGAAACGCCGAGGCACCGTCAAGAGGAGATTACATAAGAGCGTTTGAAAGTGTAAGAGAAAAGAGAGTTTTTGCGGTAGTAAAAAGTAAAATCACAAAAATACTGAACTCCGAGGAAAATTCAAAACGGAAAGTCCCTAATCAAATGGCAAAATCAAATGATAAAACACACCAAACGAATGGACAACAACTGTCATATTCCATGTCATAGTAAAGAGATGCATTATAGTTGGTGCTAAAACCAAAAGTATAAAGAACTAGATTTTTCTTTTATTTATGAATGGGAATGAAAGTATATGAATACATGTACATATTGTTACGCTATTTGGAAGTAATAACATCAGAACTAGATATTGTGTTTGTTGTTTATATTTAATATGGATTTTACATAGATTCGCTACCAAATAAAAATCATGTCATTATCATCAGTCAACCCAATAAGATGGACATGCTACAAATGGCGACAGCGGTGGAATAGCTACATTCAAAATGGAATTTGGAAACTATTTTGGTAGGTTATCTAACTTAAATGGTGATTTTATTTCAAATAATGGAAGACATGGAATCAAGTATAACCAATAATAAGACATATCCTATGTATTCAACCAATGAGGGAACAAGTGATCCAATGCAATATAATTATTCTCCAAAGAGATATACGGAAGATAATGCAGGAAATCTTCATCCTCAACAGCAGATTCGTAGCAATTTTCCATCAGAGGAGAGAACCAACGTGTCTTTGGAACCTCGTTTTGGTGGTCTGGCGGTTCCCCGGCATTCAAATCAACACCGCCAGGTAATGACTGGTGGTTAGACTCAAACTTCCACGATGAAATGGAAAGATGAACATTTGATTGCTAGTACTCCAAAGTCGATGAAGTTTAATTTGAAATCTAATACTTTTCGTACTGACCGATGATGGAAAAAATTAATTCTTGGATGAACTGGGTTACTTTTAAGCGTTTTGCTAGTATTTATAAGGTTTGCTCTCACAATTCCATATCACGATCTTACAACAGAACGCGATCCTGCTAATTATGGCACTGATGATAACATTCTTGATTACACTGATCATCAAAATCCTGATGGACGAGACGTCAACATATTTAAATAAACAGAAAATATCAACTTTGAAAGAGTTTCAAGAACCATATTGGGTACGTCAAAAACGTTAACATAAAGATGATTCGCATATGCGCGATAAAACAAATTCGAACCGGAACTGCTATTCATTCCCGATATTTACATTACCTAGAAGTTCTTAAACCCAAGCAAAGCGAACATTTATTGGTAGAGGGAAACCATTTTGGTAGATTTTCTGCGTTATTTTGAAAACATTGCAAAATTAAATTGTTGTAAACGACTGGAGTTCATGACAACGTTAAGAGGTCAAGCAGGGACATGTACGCCTGGTCAATCATATGATGTACAAACAAGTCGTTTAATTGATAGTATGGAACTACGATTTGGGCATTCTTACATAAAAGAATGAAGCAAGGTTGGGAGGACGAATACTAGGATAATTGTTCAGAGATTTGGGGCAATCAATTAAAGATTTTTATGGACGTTTATTTCCACCTAACTACGAAGTTGTGCGGGAAAACTGAATTCGAACATTGGAATGTTATGCGACTGTCATACAAGTGATAGGTTTAGCTAGCTATAAAACCAGGTTTAATCCACCATTTTCTACATGAGAAAATGTTTGTACCAAGTCAGGAATATGACAGTTATTATCCATTTGTTTGATGTGTTTGAGCTTTTGAATTTGCCATTAGATTACGGACTTTCCGTTTTGAGTTTTCCTAGGAGTTTGGTATTTTTGACATTTTACTTTTTTCTTGATGCCTGTCGAGAATCTGAAGATTTTAGGATGGTCATAAGACGTACTAAGCTAAAGACACTATAGGAAGCAGCGACATGCAGGAAGAATGTATGCACATCGATGAACAGAATTCTATTAAGCTGGTTCGTAGATATGTTTACGAAGTTGATAAAGAAAACAAAATACGGATGAAAAGTGTAAATTTTCCACCTTGCAGTTACTGTGACAACAAGAGTCATAAAGTTGAAAGGTGCTTGAAAAAGTAAGAGTTCCAGAAGATGAAGCCCGACAGTGTCCAATAACACTGTTCGACGGAGGGATGGCACCGGGCATCGGTCGGAGCAGTAGGCCATGTCTCGACCGGCGGTTCAAAACGGCCTAGCAAAAGTAAATGAGAGTGTATCCTTGATACTTCAAAGATGTCAAGTAGCACTCAAACTTGTTTTGAGGACATTGATGGTAGGAACATGGCTCACTTGCAATTGTTGAACGTCTGTTTAACGAATAATCGACCAGAAAATATCTCCTAAATGTCGTCTTTTACAAGTAGAACAAAGTGATAATGCATCTTATCTAAGGGAGGTTAACAATGAGAAGAAATCATAGTCTTCAGAATTTCAGAATAGTGAGAAAGGTGATTCGAACATCGAACTGAATGATGTAACATTCTTAACAAATGTTAATGGAAAAGCTGATATGGTTGTTGACGGTTAACCTGGAGGACCTTCAATTACATGGAAAAAAGATACCGGGGCTAGAATAGCCTTTATAACAGAAACATTCTACCGATAGCAGACCTTTGCTACGCCTAATGAAAAAAAAAATCAAATTCGCAAAAAGAAGAAGTTTAAATGTGTTAAGAATTGCAGTTTTAACTTTTTCTTGTGATGAATTTTGTGTCATTTTCGTATTATTGCTGGGGGATCAAGTTTTTGTAGGAAAGGACTTTTAACGTGTTTTCGTTGCCACTAGGATTGACACACTTTTTTTTCTGTTAGATAAGTGACAGGAAAACAATGTTAACACTCTATATAGAAGAGTGATTTCATTAGACAATAATGGTACCTGCTTAACATGAAGTAGTAGTAAAATAGGGACTGACAATAAAGGTTTTGCTTGTTCACTTCATAAATATCAATGACAAAGTTGAGGTGAGCATGATAATGTTGGCGTTTGTCACATTGACGGGAAAAGATACAAGACCGATGCACAGTTACCACAATATGGATGGAAGTTAATAAAACAAGAAGAGACTGTTCGATTTTGGAAGACGTTAATGCAATACCAAGAGGTATTTGCAAATCCTAATGGAAAATCAGAACCCCTGCAAGAGTACCATCATTCCAGAAGCAAATTTTAGAAAATAAACTAGAGCATTTACAGAAGAAAAGCATCATATAAAATCTTGTAATTTCATGGTCCGCTATCATTGTACAAAAAAGACTCATCAATGCGGCTATGTGTAGATTACCAGAATTTCAATGAAACGAACACAACAGATGCGTATCCCATATCGATGTTTGAGAATAACGTGGATGCTTTGTGTGGATCTTAGTGATTTTCATCACTGACTTGGATATTGATTATCAGTAAATACCAATCAAATCTAGTGACAAGGAACAAACGACTGCGTTTTCAACCCCAAATGTTGGACTTTATCAGTATACATCAATGCCATTCGAACTATGTAATGCGTCATCAACATGCAGAGTTAAAGGACTTCATGGGCATATTGTTGTGCTATATCTTAAAGATATTATTGTGCATGGAAAATCATTTGATGAATTTGTGTATGTGCTTTTATTATCGCCGTATTTAATAGTAACATTTTGAAATATGAATTTCAATTTGTAGGTGGAGGGAATTGCAGTCATTTTAATAGAGTTAGTTTTCGGAACAATCATATTAAGTGTTTGTTAAAGATATCCGTGTGTATGGCGTAACGATACCGCCCGGTGTCAACTGAGTGAACGGTACTATCGCGAACCACAGAGGAGAGTATATAAGAGCACGAGAGAAGAGAATATGTAGTTTTTAAGAGATGCATAAGAGTTGGTGTTAAAACTAAAAGTAGAAATAACTAGATGCTTTGTTTATTTACGAATGGGAATGAAAATATATCAATATATGTACATATTGTAACATTAGTTGGAAGTTATACAATAATGTACTTTTAGTTGTTTATATCTAAAATGGGTTTAACATAGATTTGCTACCAAATAAAAATCATGTCATAGTCATCAGTCAACCCTATAACATTAACACGCCACAATACCTAATATGACAAGGTACATATTTGCAGAGGAATAACCGCCAGTGGCTACTTATTGATATAGCAATCAAAATTCAGCGTCCTGATTTTTTATAAAACAATCAACGATCTGCGACAGGCACATATAGAAACGTTGTGGGATTTAGAGAGCTCAACTCTTCCTTAACTGATTTTTTTTCTTGAATTGGTTTAAGACAAGTATTAGGTGAATAGAAGCAATGAAATCGATAGAATAAACATGTGATTCGAAATAACCTGAACGTCTTACCGATAATTCATCTTCTCTGCTTTCGTAGCTACTACTATCATAAGAATCATCACCATTAAGCGTATGTATAAAAATGATCAGATATATCAGTAAAATTCTTCCTTTCATTTTTATCAGACAGACCTGTGAAAGAAATAATCAATTATATTAAATGAAATAATAATCATTATTTGGTATGTTTACAATTGCCAAAAAAACACTTCAATCGTACACTTTAATGAAAAATGAAAGAATGATATATACTTATTTATGTAAACTATAGAGGCGCCATCCTTGTTGTCAATGTAATAAATATGTCAAAATTGATACATGATATAAATAGTCCTTTCACACGCAGTTATGGTAAAATTAAATATGAATCTACAAACATCACTGTATTCGACATCTTTAAGGAAGATGTAATAATGGCTGTGGATATTCATCATATCTAAATATTAAAGAAATTCACAAAGCGTGGTTTATCTTGAAGAATACCAAAAAAGGCAGTTACATATTGAGTGGACAAATGAAAAACAACGCCATGACAAAAAAAAGACGAGACGTTATTAATAAGACAACAGGCTAAAATCAATACAGAGGAAAAAATTCTTCAGAAGGATCAACAGTTCAATGACAACAGTAAAAAACAGAAGCAACATGAAATGTTCTAAAACATATTGTGTTCAATTCTTGTGTCGAGAAAGTGTATTACTAAAGGATAATGCCTGTTGGTTAGGTTCATTACGATAAGACGTTGACAATCTCTGATTTAACTTATTACGATAAGACAAAAGGCAACCACTCATGAAAAGCATTACGATATGACATGAGGCAACCACTCACTAAAATCATTATAATATGACATAAATATGACACAAAGCAACCACTGACAAAAATCAATATAATAATACATAAAGCAATCACAGACTAAAAGCATAACGATATGACACAATGCAACCACTGACGCAAGACTACAAGCATAACGATATGACATAAAGCAACCACTGACGAAAATCATTACAATATGTCATGAGACAATCACAGACTAAAAGCATAACGATATGACATAAAGCAACACCTGACGAAAACCATTACAATATGTCAAGAGACAATCACAGACTAAAAGCATAACGATATGACATAAAGCAACACCTGACGAAAACCATTACAATATGTCATGAGACAATCACAGGCTAAAAGCATAACGATATGACATAAAGCAACACCTGACGAAAACCATTACAATATGTCATGAGACAATCACAGACTAAAAGCATAACGATATGACAAAAAGCAACACCTGACGAAAACCATTACAATATGTCATGAGACAATCACAGAATAAAAGCATAACGATATGACAAAAAGCAACCACTGACGATAATCATTACAATATGACATAAGGCCATCACTCACTAAAATTATTTCAATATGACATAAAGCAACCACTGACGAAAATCATTACAATATGACATAAAGCAACCACTGACGAAAATCATTATAATATGACATAGAGCAACCATTGACGAAAACCATTAAGTATGACATAAAGCAACCACAGACGAAAACCATTACAATAAGACATTAAGCAAACACTGACGAAAATTTACAATATCACATAAGGCCACCACTCATTTAAATCATTACAATTTGACATAAAGCCATCACTCACTAAAATCATTACAATATGACATAAGGCCATCACTCATTAAGGCTTTTGACATGATTATGTAGCGGAGTAAACTATATATTTTCTTAAGATTTACTCTCACTGGTTAAATCTAGATCAGTGGACAACGAAAGGTTGAATATAACAGACAATAATGATCTCAGGAAAAACACCTAACTTTAAAACAACGGTATAAAATTTAACAAAACCACAAGTTTAAGGTTGCACTTTGTAAATACAGCTGTTTCTCAAACCACGCCTCTTTTGGGGAGATATATAATATTCATAGATATTTAGTTTTGTTTATGTACTGGTTCCCAGATAGGATCTCTATGTTTCATCTCATAGAGACATAACTTGGGAATGTTACCAGTATAAAAACATAGGGTTGCGGTGAAAATTGAATTCTGAAGTAGGCCCAAAGTGAATGTAGGGGTAGTACAGAATTTTAGTATAAGTTTAAACTCTACCAAGTTCGGGGCATATACATGTTGAAAATATGCCGCACAGCCCTATGTTTGACCTTTGAATAAAGTAGTAGTGCATATCAACTTTCCATTCTAGGATATAATTTTTTACGAAACTTCATTGTAAAAGTGGCACAGTTTTAGCCGCAACGGGAGTTCTAATGGGAAATTGCATTGTCTATATTTACAGAAATGCAACCTTAATAAAATTGAGAATGGAAATGGGGAATGTGCCAAAGAGACAACAACCCGACCATAGAACAGACAACAGCAGAAGGTCACCAACAGGTCCTCAACGCAGCGAGAAACTCCCGCACCCGGAGGCGCCCCCCAAAACATGTTTGGTATGAACTATTCACTAACAGCTTGAATGGTCTAAATTCTAAAATATCTTTGCAAAAACTTCATAAAATGGGATTTTAACATTGTCATTTTCCGGTCAAGGTTTTGAGTAATCGAATAGACTAAGATTTGTCCACTATCTACATGAAAGTCTGAATGAGGGGTCTTTATTTCTGTACATTAAATTAATAATTTGCCCAGTATATTCTTGTTCATTTATATTTTAACACCCCATTCTATTGTCTGTTTTTTTTTGTCAATGTTTCCCTATTCTTTATTTTTTTTCATTTTTTTTTCTCCAGTCTTTATTTCTTGTGTCCACTTTTCTCGTCTACATTTGGAAATGCAAATTTGTTTGATGTAAGTGACTACATGTTATTTGTTTAAAGGGCAATGAATACAAATACAAAATGTCTTTTCAGGTCAGCAGAAAAATAAATATTTAAAATTATTGATATGTCGTAATTCTTACATCAAACAAAATTACATTTCCAAATGTAGAAGAGAAAAGTGGACACAAGAAATAAAGACTGGAGAAAAAAATGAAACAAATAAAGAATAGGGGAAAAAAATAAAAAAAACAGACAACAGAATGGGGTGCTAAAATGTAAAAGAAAAAGAATATAATGGGCAAATTATTAGCATGTGTTTTGGAAGGGAAATAACAACGAGGTCACATCCCCAAAGTGGCCAAAGTAGTAAACTAATTGAACAATGTATATTACATTATATTACTTATTTTCTTTTTTAAACATTTAGAAGATTAATATTTTATACCAGAAAATTTAGAATCTTTTTTAGAATAAAGTGAAGGAAAAAGTGTTAGATATACTTACATCGATCTGTACAGGGTTTATGAAATAAGATAAAAATTGGCGATCAATCATCTATTTAGTAATGAAATAATTAGAAAATTTACAATCAATAATTAACCATTTTGATGACATTATGATGCATTATAACGTTTTATAGAATACCTGTTATTTGTATTAAAGAATTTTTAAAGATGTATTGGTATAATAAATAATAACATGTAAATTATAACCTAGTAAACTACTTAAAGCGTTTCTCCGTTACATTCTTTTTATCAAAATACTCATATAGCCCAAGAATTGTCACATAATCTGTTTTTACATGTTAAAAGGAAAAATTTATATTTGCAAACTCTTAGATGGTCCGGGTACACAGTTATCGTCCTTTGATTTTCGTTGTCCACGAATATAGTCCCTAGTGTGGACAGTGTGTTACTTGTCGATTTTTTTTATACCCCTTCCGAATTTATTTCTCCATGTTTTATGACTCAAATAGTAAGTAGGGGGGTGAAATGACACTGTAAAAAAATTTGGGTCATGAATTTTAAAGTAAAGTAGTGATTTGGTCCAGCTGAAAAATGTTAAAAATTAGCACTTCGGAAGCTGTCAAAAGATTTGAAGACCCCCTTAGCATGAAATTGTCCATATTTTGAGTTAGAGCCGATGAAGTTTTCTATAATTTTGATATAATTTGTCCCAAAAGTAGTACAACACACTGTAAAAATATTATTGAGAAAGCGCAGGTGGGATTTTTTTAATTTCCATTTATTGTCTAAAAGAAATGCACTACGAAATAACTGTGTACTCGGACCTAAGAGGTGAAATCAGGAAATATAGAATCTGTACTTTGGCAACTTCCCTGAATGATTTGATGGTGTCAATTTATCAAATAGCATAAAACTAAAGGATTTAAACTTTTATTTGATAGAATTTCTGCAAAAATGACCAATTTTGGCATTTTATGGTCAAAATAAGCATTTCACAGCTTTTTCAATTTTGATGCATAAGTGGCATTCTGACTTTCTATCTGACAGGTTTTTATGTGTCAATATTTGTGTTTCTATGCTTCAATCCAGTTGTATTACTCATTTGTGAACTCTGACTCTACAGAAAAGAAGATTATCTCAGACAGTATGTGCAAAATGTGTTGTATATATGATCCTCGTCTAACGCCCTGTTTGGATCAAGTTAAATGTCAGGAGCTTGGAACATAAAAGTTGAAGTCCATTATAAAGACCTCACTAAATTTGTATAAAAAGCACTTAACAATGTCTTTTGTACCTGTTTTATGTCACATAATATCTTTCTTTTCTTCTGTAGGATAGCAAGTGGTTCAAATATAAGCCTGTTGACACTAAAATTGCATGCATGTTTTTCACTAAAAAGTGAAAAATCTTTGTATCAGACCATACTGTCTGCAAAAAAAGTTGAATGCAAGAGTCTTTTTGTGCTCAGATTTATTGTATCATGTCACCTGAGAATAGAAATGATAGAAAAGACACAAAATTTTATTTCATATAGCTTCAATATGCATTTTTAAATGTAAATAGGTGATACGGCCTAAATTGACCCTAAATTATTTTCAGTCTTACTTGGCCTAAGACCCTTTTGAACTAATGTGATATGTTATTTGTAAGTTTTCTTTCCATTTAAAGTACATTAAATACATATGTAAGGATTATTTATAACCAAAAAGCTTTACAAATTTAAAATTGCTGGAAAATATTACATCTTCATGTAAGGCCCCCCTTCATTGGAAAACCTCCATTTTTAGCCACAGGCTCATATAAATTTGACTTTTTAATAATTATGATAAGTCTGATAAATCAAATGAGTACTCTATTGCTTTT